GGGGGGGGGTGGACCTTGTATGGGGGCCACTGATGAGGTCGAACATGTATACAAGAAAAAAAAATATATATATATATAAAACCTTGTCTGTCTATTCTGATCTTGAGTCCTTCCTCCTCATCATCATCATCAGTGATCCATTTACTGCAATCTACACAATCATCAATCAAAAAAATTCTTATCCACCAATACAGAAGCAATCACATCAACATGCAAATCTCAGTTATTGCAATCTTTACCCTCCTGGGCCTTGCAGCAGCGGCACCCTCTACCAGCAAGCGTGAGCAAGACAATTATGACGTTGGGGTAAGAAAAAGTGGCCCTATTCTACCAGAAATAAGAATCTTCTTTTTGTTAACCCGGAAAATAGTCGTGCAATGGTACTTCATGCCACGCCAATTTAATTGACACAGAGTGTGGTAACGGATCTGTGAGTTATTTTCCCTCTCCCCCTCCCCCACCAGGCATTCTTACGTGAGTCCTGTAGGTATGACTGGACGCTGACTTGAAATTTTCCCCCTTCTAGTGTGTGGGTGAGGGTGGTGGTGATGGTGCGACTTGCCATGTCCAAAAGAACCATGGCATGGCTTTCTGCCCTGTTGGCTGCGACAACGATCAGGGATACTGCCCCTAAGCTTCTACTGGAGTCACACATATGTTCCAGTGAGACTAGGTGGATGGATTCATTTTTCTTAGTTCCGCTGTTAGGTGGCATTGCCAACCGAAAAATGAAGATTGGCCTGGCCTGGCAACCAGGAAATTTAAGGCGATGGAGACAGAGGAGAGGTATATGGTGGGAGAGTTTGTCATAGTGACATTTACTAAATCTATGCTACGTGGGGTGAGGAACTTATTATAGATAGTATGGTCACGAATCTCATTCTTTTATATTCGTTCAGTCGATCCTCCGTCACCAGTATACACCGGGTAAATTATTGATAGAAGTGATAATATCTCTCCTACCCAAAATATGCTTTCTATAAATGTACTTGTATTATGCTACATATTACCACAACATCCTATCCTGTGTCCTATTATACATAACTCCTGTTGGACTTGAGATACCACGTTCATCAAGATCCCTCTGATTCTCTTAGACTAAGTTCATCAATGCCACCTTGACTATGTCATATTGCCTGGCATTACCGTGCAAGGCTAAATCGTCCTACATCTGGACTTTTCGAGCCCGAACCGAGGCATTGTTGGTCTTGATACCCGTAGCCTTGGGATTTACCTCTGCTTGGGACATGCATCGGAGAGTTCTGCGGGTACTGGGAGGCTTGCCATCCTTGTTGTATGTGGCAAAGTAGAACAAGATAAAGAGAGCAAGGTAGGAGCTGATGACGATAATCCCGGCAAACGCGGCAAACTCCTCTCCAGCGCAGTGGCCTGCGTTCGGCATCCAGGGAAAATATGTCGAGGTAAAGTAGGCGTAAGAGGCAAAATAGACGAAGCCCAAGTCGATGACAAACTGGATGATTTGCAGACGGGTCACCCACTCCTTCCACCAAATGCGGATGCCACGAGCACTTTGGAAGTAGTACCAGTACATAACAACATGAACCAGCAGGTTTAGCGTGATGGGGACCCATGAAACCGCTGTGTGACCGATCAGCTGTGTGTAGCAGAGAACGGCAGTCGCTCCATGGTGGTAGCAGTGGAGGAATGTGAGAGGCTTTTTCTTGAGAAACAAGAATATGGTATCAAGAAGCTCGAGATATTTAGTTAAGTATGTCAACTGGCAAAGTCTCAGTATCTGGACTATGCAAGATTTGGCGTAGATGTTTCACCTACGTAGTATAGAACGACTAGGTGGTTCGTCCAGCCACCGTCCCGATGACATATGGCGTAGAAAATGCCTTTTCGGAAGACGGTAGGAACGAGCTCCTCTATGTAAAGCGCGAGCAGAATGGCACTGATTGTTGTGAGGTAGAAGTTGTGTATCAGAAACAGCGACCTCAATTTGAATGGTGGTCGGTTTTGCATCAGTTCACGGCCCGCAAAGATCATTATATAATAAACAGCCACAAACGTCGAGGTCTCCTTTAGCGTGGACATAGGGGTTTTCCCCACCACAAACTTGAACTCATCGGCAGGATAACCTACGACAAGTTCGAAGGCCTTGCTGAAGTGCGACCACATGTGCACACCAAACGGTCTGTCGGGAGATAGAGTGGGAAACGACTCTATAGCCATGACTTGAAGAGAGATGAAGTTGAAGAATGTTCGACACGCTAAAGAGATTGCGACTGAGTGAGTTTAGGAATGAGTGTGAGTAGAACGGAATTGCATACACAAGTCATTGTTTCCCCCTAAATAAAATGCGCCTCAAGTGAACTAAAATCTGACATTTCCCTCCCCTTCCCCCTCCTCATTCATGGTTTCAATTCGAAACAACCTGATCTTGAATCGAGTCAATCAAACACAGCGATTGAAATCTACCGTTTCGAAAATCAAAAGTCTAATTCCTTCACTGATCATATGGAAACTTGAAGTGTTCCCCATACACAAAGTGATGATTCAACAAGCCCCTTTGATATTGGGCGCCCAATAAAGTCCCGACAAGGGCCCAACCAAACGAAGACTACGACGGGAAAAGTTTCAGGAGGCGTTTCATGTATATACTCAGTCGGCAATAGAGTTTATCTCAAGCATAGGAATACGTGTGGATCTTGACAACACAGATGTGAGCAATCTAACAAGTACCTCATGATGGTTCGCCCCAGTGTTGCAGCTGTTGCACCGCCCAAGATTTCCAAGACTATCACATTGACTCCGAAAGTCTGCATGAACCAGTCTCGCACCTCCATGGCGATAAGAGAGTCTACCCCATAGACATACAAAGGCCAACTCAAGGATCCAGCCATTGAGGTTCCCATTACGGGGTAAGCATCTCTTCCGGAATCGAGAGGCTGGTAACGACCTGCGAGGTTGTTGGTTCAATCTAAGAAGTTGTCATGAATCAACAAGGGGCTCTCTTTGACAATATTTATACTGGTCGTACATTGCTCGACACATTATACGTCAAGTCCAGTGAATTCGAAGACTAAATAGTGTCTCACTAACCAGCTCCGAAAAGAAAGTTCCAGCCCCACTAGCTTAATCCACGCCAATGCAACCTTATCGGGCGTACCGTTTCCGAGGTTTACTAAATTAACTGCATCTATAACGCCTATATCAAGTTGAGGGAGAGTGTGGATGGCGAGTTGAATCGTATTCCCCCGGTGCATATCTGGGGTCAGCAGGGTAAGACGATTGAGTTGGATAGACGCGGGACTGATAAGCGTAACGAGGATGGTCTCTATGGCTGAGGAGGTATAATGGGGAATAATTAAATCAACCAGCTCTTTTTATTTGTGTGCCTTT